TCCGATAATTGTTAGCTAGCGCTCTAGTTGTTGACAACCGCTACGGCGCTAGCTAACAATTATTGGAAAAAACGATTAATTTCCGGAGTAACTAGGAGTCCAAATTTCGGAGTAAATAATCTTTCCCAAATAATCCATCCGGGCCTTACATTTATGTCGTATTTTATATCTACGCTCAAAATGGTAAGTACGATATTAAATTATTGAAGTAAATCAATTAAACATCACTGACAAATTTGTGAAGATATTTTTAATAACAGCAGTCGGAGGCTTTGAAATCAGCTCGTCAAAAATTCCAGTCAGTGGAATATGAGGCATCGAAGAGCTCAGAGTTATTAAAAAGGAAGCTGGAGGGATATTACTGAAAAGTCGCTGAGTCGGTTAACGAGCAGATACCCCAGCGTTGCGTGTGGTGCCCTCCCTCTCTTGGGGTACAGTACTACGATGCCGCTGGGGTCACTCCAACCCCCAGAACTGAGCCTCTACTTTAGTCAATCCTCTTTGGAGTGATATGACAGACTGACTAGTCTGTTTTCTCACCGAAAAATAATTGACTGAAATGGGCTGTCACATTCTTATGACACATTCGCTCCGGAAATTGTCAAGTCAACGTTAGATGAAGTATTTTCACAAGTTTTTTTACTTTCGTGTAAATTCCTAAGAAGTTAATATTCATGTACACGCAGACAATTAAGATGCCAGTGCAGAAAGACTCGAATATTGTTAAAATCGCTGTTAAAACAGCTGGGACTGGCCTCAATCCACAGTTGATTGAGTTCAATCAAAAACAACCTTTGACCGGAATAATTCAGGTACGCCCATTTTATATTTACTTGGAATTCCAAAAATTATTTGATAACAGTGGAAAATTAGTTGGCATGTTATGTCGCAACCTCGACAAATTGATTTATTTGAAAGTTAATTGTTTTGCAGGAACTCTGCAATGGCTGGGGTTTGTCAGATCCAGACACGTACTCTCTTCAATTCTCTGAGAGCAATAATAAGAATTATATCACCGAAAAAAACAGGAATGAAGTCAAAAATGGAAGTATTTTGAAATTAGAACACTCACCTTCAAAGACAGCTGGGGATATTCTTGCTAAATTGAATGATGGAACACCGGAAGAAAAAATAAGTGCACTTGAAAAATTGAGTTCTTTAGCTCTCGATATAACTTTTGGCCACGAGTTTATCAACAAACAAGGATTGGCACTAATTGTTTCACAGGTTTGCACTCTTCATGCCGTAACAGAAACCAATCATGAAATTGAATATTTTAAATAGTTACCCCATTAATTTATTTTTATTTATGGCATTTCTTAAGGTGGAGTCTGGAAAATATAAATCGACAGCCCTGGCATATTCCTTGCAATCTTTCGTGGAACTGATGGACCATGGAATAGTTTCTTGGGATATTCTCGAGCCTCCGTTCATCAACAAAGTCGCCAGTTATGTTAATAATCAGGCAGTGACACAAGATGCAGACGTAATAGAAGCTTCTCTGAGCATTCTCGAGAATATTGTGCTGAACTCCTCGGGACAGTATGGATTAGTTGAAAAAGAGGTCACCTTCCCCAATCTGTCCAATCATCTCCAGAACATGAAGCCTGAGATCCAGCAGAATACAATTGCATTGATTAATGCATTGTTTTTAAAAGCAGATGCACGCAAACGAAAACATGTAGCTGCCACTCTGCAATCCAAACAAATCAGAAATGTATTTCTCACGAATGTCATTCAGTCAACTGGCGAAGTAAGTCATATAAACTGATTTTTTACTCTAATTACTACTTTTTAAATGCCTGAAAAATGGGAAGGGATGTTCGAAATTGGTTGCCTATCAAAATAACACACCTCAAACTATTACCTCGAAAAAACCCAACAAAAAAAATTACAACTGAAAAAATTATTGCTTCAAAATAGAAAAGATAATAATATTTTTTTTTTAATTTAAAAGCACATTATTCCTAATATTACAAGTGCAAGGAAAAAAACAATAAATTCTCTTATTTGGTATATAATTGTCAATTAGCCCCGAACTTTTACTCGCCACAATTGACCCTCAATATACCAATAATTTTTTAATATTTCAAATCACAAAATAATATTATGACCGATGTCATGAAGATACTCCACAAGATCACGGATCGAATGACGAATTCAATCTATAGAGATCCTCAGGCAGTATTCAGAAATTCACACAAATGTATTCGTGATTGCAGGTAGGCACAGAAATGGCTCATCAACTTTACGTGCTACAAACTCTGATGCTGGGACTTCTCGAGCACCGAATGATGACAAAAATGGATCCTCAGGATCAAGATGCTCATGATAAAATAAAAGAACTCCGAAGAATCGCCTTTGACACCGAGGGAAACACAACTAATGATGTTATTTCTCGAAAGCAGGGACTTCCTGCTAAGGATTACAAAAAATTGGGATTCAAATATGATATCAATCCAGCTTTAGATTTCACTGTTACTCCTCCTGGGATGTTGGCGTTGGACTGCATGGTTTATTTTGCGAGAAATCATACAGAGTCTTATACCAAAGTAGTTCTCGAACATTCCTGTCGTGCTGATGAGCATGAATGTCCTTTCGGAAGAACCAGTGTAGAACTCGTGAAATTACTTTGTGAGGTAATTCCACTCTCTTCCATCTCCATCATCATGAAGACGTCATTGCATCGCTTTCCACTTTTTGCGTGAGATAAAAAAATTTTTGTTGTAGATTCTAAAAATTGGAGAAGCACCCAGTGAACAAGGACAGTCCTATCATCCCATGTTCTTCACTCACGATCATCCTTTCGAGGAATTTTATTGCGCTTGCATCGTCCTGCTGAATAAAACTTGGAAGGAAATGCGAGCGACAACCGAAGACTTTGTGAAAGTATTCTCAGTGGTTCGTGAACAGATCACTCGTGCTCTTCAATCCAAGCCAACTGGTCTTGATAAATTCAAGACTAAACTCCAGAGCTTGACTTACTCAACCATCACTAGCCTGTGGCAGCAGGAGAGAACCAGCAGGGAAGAGTGGGAAAGTCATGCTAAACCCGTTGTTGAGTTGCGTGAACAGATAACTCCAGAGATTTTGGAACTTATCCAACAACAAAGACTGGGATTTTTAGTGGAGGGGACGAGGTTCACTAAGTACAGCGCAAGGGGTCAAGTAAGTTACTTCATACGTACCTGTGAGATGAAAAGAATTAAAGTTGAAATCTAACTCTTAGCTGAATGGAAATCCTAATCTTATTTATTATAGTACTATCAGAATTATTTTTTATAAAAAGTTGAGAATAAATGAGACTTAAAAGTCTAAGTGAATTTACTTCCTTTGCTCCAGCGAATCAAAGACAAATTCTGGTACGTTCGTCTTTCCCCAAATCACAAAGTCTTTCATTACGGGGATTGCGATGAAAAATCAGTGCCAACAATCGATGAGCTCCCAATGAAACTGGCTGTGGTGGAAATCAGAGGACTTCTCATCGGCAGAGACTGCCCCCACATGAAAGATCTTCAAAGACGAAAAACCACTCATCAACTTGCATTTTCCCTCGCTCTAGATTCTGTAGAAGTCTCTAATCTTGATTTTGTGGCACCAGATGAACAAGTCTATGATTATTGGACCGACGGCATCAATGCACTGCTCGGCTCGAAAATGACTAGCAAAGAAACTGAGAAAGATCTTGAAACTCTCCTGTCGATGGATATAAAACTCCGACTATTGGATACTGATGGGGTAGACATACCGCAAGTCCCACCACCAATTCCTGAGCCTCCACCAAACTACGATTTTTGCTACGAATTAAAGTAAGTCAGCAGTGAAATCTAAAGAAGGATCAGTCGGGTCTTATTCTTGGCAGTTTGGAGCTAAGAGAGATAAGGAAAACTTCAGTAAGAATTTTTTTGTTTTTGATTTTATCTCGCAAAAAAAATAGCACAAAATCTCGATATCTCCCTTAGATTTTGTATTCCATTGTATTTTCTTCCACTAGAAAGGGAAAGAAAAAGACAAAGAGAAATTCAAATTCTACTAATCAAATTTATAAACCAATTAAACCAATTTTCTTTAGTATATTCACTTGACATGAATTTTGAATTCTCTCATTTTCAATATAAATGCCACTGCCTAGAAAAGGGAGATCTCAGTTGAGAGGAAAACGTAATTAATTCCATTAATGATATTTTGAACTTTTAGAACGATTTTATTTTATTTCTTTTATCACACAGGGCTTTATAAGTCCAGGTCTAGATATAATCTTAAGAGTAATGTAGTATAGATTGTACCAAAGATTTTTTAGCGAAGCTTCTTCGATTTTTTAATACATTTACCTGAAGTGTGACATTTTTTCTACGGAGAAATTTAAATAATGTCCAATCAATCACTTGATTATAATTTATTCTAAAATTTTCAGAGCCAATTCTTAGATTAAGAAACTGCGTATTAATCTCGTGAATTTTTTTACTGAACGGTGAAATTGTATACTTCGTGTTTTTAAAATAATCAAATAACTTCGGCCAAATGTAGTAAAGTAATTAATACGAATGAGACTTGTAATACCTATTTATCTAATCGAATTTATGAAATATACACGTACATACTAATTTCTCTGACCAAGTTCTAATCGTTTGTTATGTACTGATTTATTATGTCACTGAACGCAACAATTTTATTTCAGATAAAGATTTTTTTACACGTCCTCAGACATTTTTTATCCCTGAAAATCTAGTTATAGGATTTTACACTTTCTTTGATGAATTATTTCGTTTTTATATAACTACAAATTGATACGTGCGATCGGAAAAAAATCCCTTGCGCTCTATTTTCATCGCTGACAAAATTTACATAACTTCCTCGGAAAGTATGTGATAATGCTGTGGATCTGTCGCATGATGATCTGGCGGATAAAGAAAGAATTCAATGAAATTGAGCACTGGTCCTCTACTAAAAGGATTGAGATATCTTCCCCTTTTGTCCCTCAAATACGAGTATCTCTTGTAATTAAACATCTCATTAGTCGTCAAATTCATGCAGGCGTGTAATACCTAAAATAGAACAGACAGTAGTTAACTGCAAAATGATAAACTGTAAAAAATGGGAAAATCGCTATTGAATTTAGATAATTCTCCAGTTTTGCTTACTGATGTGCATGTTAGTATCCAACCGAGTCCGCAAAAAACAAGCGCCTCCATCAGACCCAACACGTACATCAACTGCAATCCCTCAATTGCGATGCAATAGCAAGCGAAGTACAGAGTGAAGGTACAATTTATTGCAATGCACATAACAAACAGAAAAAACCACATTCTGAAAGATAAAGAGAATAATTTAACAATCTTACGTTATTTTGATTGAGTTAAAGATATTCTAAAGAGATAATTGGAAAGTACCTGTTTCGAAGACCAACGCAATTATAAATAAACGGACAGTGATGATCAAAATATGAAACACAACGATTGCAAATTCTACAGTGTTTGGCTCTCAATGGCCTGAAGCATCTACAACTATGGCATAACCGAGATAAAATAACATTTCTCTTTTTCCACTTGTCGAAGTAAGGAATCTGTAAAAAAAAAATTGGATAACCTTCATGAGATAATACCTCAACCAGAAGATTTCTGAATTTCCCCCAATTACTTTACCTGTTTAATAGCTCTGTAATAAGTGTCAGTATTTTGAGGCACATAACCAGGATCTCGTCTATTAGCAACAATCCACGATATCCACATGAGAATATTCCAGTAAATGAAACAGTAATGACTCCCTCTAAGTAAATTCCAAGTGATTGGAATGCATTTTAACAGATACATGGGATAGCCCCAGAGTAGAACTGATCCCATGAAAAGTAGGAGAGGGCCCTTGCTATTTCCGGCTCCACCGAACAGCAGTGCCCTGTGCGGAAATCAATCGTTTCCTAATGTAATAATAAATCGATATCAAACGACAAGTCGTCGTGATGACTTACCAAAGTTCATTGATTGGTGGTACCCATCTTGCTCGTCGTTTCTGTTCGTTCTCAAGAATGGCAACAACTTCAGAATGTCGATGGCTCTTCGCCAGTTGGAGTGGAGTTTTACCGTTCTTGTCTTTTGGCCCCAATTCTATTTTACTCTTTTCACAGAGAATTTTTACGCAACTCACGTTTCCAGAGAGACAGGCGAGATGGAGAGGAGTTGAGCCGAAATAGTCGGGCTTTTGGAGATCAACTCCACTGTACATCAGGAGTCTTATCAGCTCGGGATGTCCCTTGTAGGCTGCCCAATGCAATGCTGTATCTCCATTGATATCAGTTAAGTGACCTTGAGCTCCAGAGCCAAGGAGAAATGCAGCTGTTGCAAATTTTCCAAACATGCAGGCTGTCATCAGGGGTGTTAGGCCTTTGAAGTCTGCTGCGTTCACAGCTACACCTGCCTGAGGGTTTAATGAATTCTATTGAAATGCTAAAAAAAGCTCACGAAAAAAATTATAAACAGCTAAATTACGACGTAATACAGGTAACCATAATCTTTCCAGTTGTCATGATAAGAGTGTAGATCTAATGAGCTGTTATTAATAATACTGAGTACATGGCAATTTACCTTTAATAGTGTTTGAACGATTGCACTGTGGCCTTTTCTACATGCCCAGTGGATTGGTTTTGGACCCTGAGTACCGAGGCAGGAGAGATCTACTGGTCCATTACGCTCAACTAGATATCGCATTACCTGAATGATTGAATTAATAAGTTTGGAGTTTTATCAAATTGTCTATCGGTTTACTAACTTCAACGTTTCCATCGAGGGCAGCCCAATGCGCTGGTGTATATCCCCATTTGTCTCTGGCACTCAATATACTCAGACCATTTTTTTCCACCATTTCCTCTACTGTTTCTGTGTTTCTGGATATTGAATTGATAATTGAATTTGATATTCGGATAACAGGGGAGGAGTAATGAGAGAAAATTGTGGCGAAATGCTTGGAATAAACATGGAGATTACTCGATAGAATTTATCATTATTTAATGACTCGCTAATTTTTATTGTTGTGAAATTAAGAAATTCTTTCACAGTGATAAAAAAATCGTGAGCAATTGAATAATAATAAGATTTAAAAACTGTATATTTTCGGTTCTCTGGAATTTATTAATTTAATGAGAATGTTTTATTGTATGAAGTAAATGTTTATGAATCCTTTTTTATAGATTTTGATAAATACCCTGCTCTCAGGAGTTCGAAGATTATCTTCGTTTCATCCGTGGGCCCTTGACCGGGTGTCGCCTCTTCGGCGTAGATGTTTTCGTCTGGAGCATTTCTTCCTCTAGCTCCATGGTTCTTCGTCAAACTAGAGGTATGCGCATTGTTATGGGATATGGGATTGTTGGGTAGATGCCCGACCATGTCGGGATCTGGACTTAGTTCCCATACGGAACGCGCTGCTCCTGGCCCTGTCACAGGGCTCACAGGATATACCTATCATTTTTTAAATCACCAAGTGTTCAATTAAAATCCATCCAACTTCTAAACACCTGCGATTACAGATGGAATCTATCAATTTAGGGTAACCACTCTAATTGTTATTCAATAGAAAAATTACTCCGAAAAATATTCCAAAAAAATATTACAAGTATAAATATTATAATGTAAATATATTACTTCGCGAAAATATTAGCCCGAAACATGTTACAAGTCGAGGTATTTTGATATCATTATATTATTTTTATAAATATTACAAATGAAAGGATTATGACATTGTTTATTATGAATATATTAGAAGTATTATGCTGGTAAAATATTGTTGCTCAATTATTTTTGAAGGAATATCTCGAGGTGTAATCAATTTTTGTGACTTGTTTCAGCGAGCTGGGGATTACTTATGTGAACGTTAAGAAATCGATATATTCTGTGTATCATATCAAGTACTGCCTGATGATTTTTAGGATTGAATTCGTTATTCCATCTGTGATGTTGTGGAATATCTTCGAGGTGTCATTTTATTTTGTGATTGCAGGTATTTTAAAATTATTGAAATATTGGGACTGTTGTTGCGAGTAAATGTTCGGGCCTAATAGACAATTACATACCAATTATGAGAATTTATTATGATCTGTTCCTTGTTCTTATAATGTCTCGAAATAATGAGTGTTTTGTTGGAATATTTTCAGCTGCAGTATTTACTCTACTATAATATTCTGAAGCGATAATTTTTTTTCAGTTGTAATATTCTCCGTTGTGACTTTTTTTCGGCAATATTTTGAGTTGTGGTAATTTTATAGAACGAAATTTACCGCACTGTTAGAAATAAACCGGAAAATTTAATTTCACAGAATTTCCCGAATTTCCAGAAATGTTCTCATGAAAAAAAAACACATAAGTTCAATTAAAAGCAGTTCAATTATTCCATAAAAATTCAGAAATATCTATAAGACCGAGTGTTTACCCTTTTTCTTTTTCTCTCCATTCGATATTAATTCAATTGAAGTCAATCAATTGAAAGTCAAGAAATCAATTTATTTCATTTTTAAATCAATGAATTAATGAATATGTTGGGGGTGGATACTTTGGCACGCAGATTTTCAATAAGAATAGCAATGAGCAGATGAAAAAGTGAAAAAGACAAATTTATTAGGTCAAGTACCAATACCTTACAAAGCGTTGCCAGGTCAGTATTAGCCTTCTCAAATTCGTTATTCGTGCACCTATTTCCACTTCTGGAATGAGTGAAGTTCTTGAGCGGAGCTGCTAGTCACAATGGCACGCCAGGTCCCACCATTTTTGTGAAATTCCCTCGATTCCCTCTATTCCTCGACTTAAGATTTCCCACTGTGACAGTTATTTCATTGATAAACCCAAAGAAACTCGAGATTCCTCGGAAAAACCGCCATGAGACACCTCCAAACCAAATGAATCCTGTCACTTGCACTTGCGCATTCAAATCAATAATTTTGCCACCCCTGGTACTGCGCATGTGTCGTGTAAAAAACTTTGACAATACCGCAATATTTAGCAGAAGATTATTTTTAACAATTCAGGTCAGATGGCAATGAAGGAGATGTCGAAAAAAAAATAATTGAGGGAATTGTCATTTCAAATGTTTTAAGGCAATTATAATTTATTCTCAAATGTTCATCAAATATTATTACAGCTCACACAAATATATACATATACATCCTGCATTGAGTACATTTACAATGTTTTATTTATCTTAATCTGTAGTTAATTTTCAGTTGTACATATACTGCAAACAGAGACCGATACGTCAAAAGCTGATAGCATTGTTTATATTCATCGCACAAGCATTCCGATGTTTTTTTATTGTTCGATTTATTGATAAATGCCAATGCAATCCTTATGGTCTCTGATGGTTCAATCCACTTGGATAATTCAGATCGAATTTTATATCAAATTCAATAATTTACAGAAGAAAAATAATTCTCGTATTAAATCGACGTTAACATGAGAAAACGACGACAATACACTTTTCCGTTATTTTTTTTTTCTTTTTGGCATTCCGGATAAATTATCAACGTTTATTATAATAAATGTATTATCAGTTCCGCAGGAATTCAAATTGATGTATCGATAGATAAAACTAAGAATAAATATCAGATTAAATATCATTTGGGATTCATATAGAAAATTATTATTAATCGATTGCAATACCAAAGATTTCGATGATCTCGTGCAAATTCATGGAGACATTATTATCGTGCTTAGATAATTATAATTTTAACCAATAGGAAAGTCTTGCTGCCATGCACATGATGATTTTTCAATGATGAATTCAACATCAAGGCAATTTACAAAAAAAAAATTATTTATAATTTCACCCAAGAATTCAGTGGAACGAACTCTTAATTAAAATGGAAGCAGAATATATTCATCAGATTAAAAAAAGAGCAGGAAAGGGCAATGAGTGTCCTTCAAAAAATTTTATCATGGCTACATCCGAATAAAATGAACTTTTTTCGATTTGATCTTGTTATCGACATTAGAACCTTTGAAAAAAGTCATAAGTGAACAATATCTCGAGATTATCCAATTATTATTATATCCATAATTAATCCATTATTCCTCGAAATTTGAGCGCACAATATAATTCTGTTCATCACAATGAATCGTTTCTTTGTTGTCAATAATTTTAACTTGCCTAATCGCAGAAACATTGAAAGGAATTTCTCCAGTCAAATAATATTCACACAATAAATAATAGTTCGAAAAACATTATTTTTGGTAATAATTCTCCATTTCTCCACATCATGGAGATAATAAACTAATCAGTGGGCGTACAAATCAAGATTTCGTTCACGATCGTAATATTATTTCCCTGAACACTTGATTTGAGAGACAATCAATTGCACCAGCAAATGGAATGCTTTCAGTGACATCACGAATATTCTGAATTTCGTAAAAATTAAATATCAGATTATCAAATTAATTAAATTATTCCAGGATAATTCTGATATCGAGGAGTTCTCCATGGAAGCAACAGAGAAACCTAGATTATTTGGTCATTTGAGTGAACCCCATTGGTAAGAAATTCAAGTCAAATATGTTCTAGCGGAATTACTGACAGTTTCATCTTTAGCTGAGGACGTCCAAGATTCTTCAGCTAGACTGCCATACCTCTGCACCCCCGGAAATCGTGGTCCCGAGCTCTGGGGCGAATAGTACCCACCCTGGAGCTGGTAATAATTGTTCCCTGGTGACTGATAGTAGTAATCCGATGATAATATATTGCTGTATCCCGAGTAGGATCCGTACTGCGAGGAATAAGATGAATATCCACGCTCGCTCAAGCTCCGATAAGGCCCCGAACGTTGGGGCCGATCCTCTTGTCAGACTGGTGTACTCACTGGTGCATTCGTTATGTACTCGATGTCACCGATGCTTTTCACACGACGATGACGCTTTCCCGTTCCATTTGCTGATGGACGTGGCGGTAGTTGAGGAGGTGGAGGAGAATTACTACGGATGCTACTCATGTATTGACATTGACTGACGAGAGATCCTGTGTCTGATGATGACGAGGGTGAAGCTTTTTCACTCCGGGGACGAAGCCCCAACGCTCGACTCAGAGAACCCTGTAATCCGTGGAAATCACTTCATTAGAGGACTTGGACAACATTTTAATTCTCCGGGGAAATTATAAAACAAGGTAAATTCACATCAATCCTCAACTCTCTTGAATTTTTGGATTTATCTTCGAAACTAAGGGAGATATCAAAATGTTTGTAATAACTTTTTTTGTTGGCTTCAATCAACTTTACAAAAAATATTCCGAAGAAAATTTCGGTATCTTCATTTATTTCGGATATATTTGCAATTAAATTACTGAAGAGATGGATCAATTTATCTATTTTTATTATTTTGATAGTAAAATAGATTTTAGTTTTGATACATGGAGAAAAATTTAGAGCACAGTTCGTTCTGATGTTCATTAGAAAGAATTAATTTATTTTAATCTAGTCGGATTATTTATTATCTCATTATTTATTGTTATAAGTGCATTTCGAGTTCCATAGAAATTTAGATTAATGTATCAATCAACAAGAATAAACATCAGATTAAATATAATCATTAAATATAATCAAATAATCATTCCTCATTGCTGTCCAATTTATTCATTGATTTTTCTCCGTGTATACAGAGAGGGAGAATTATTGGATTGAAAATGTATTTCGAGAAAGGGAGGCACTGGATACAAATTATCGGAAATATCTCATGTAGATTCCAGGAATAATTGTTATCCGACATAAATAAATAATGAACGAAAATTCCAATTATCAATGCAAATAACTTCTCCAATTTCAAAAGGGAGAGAAATCATGGACTGCAACTTTCTTCGTTCCTAAATAATTTCTCGCTCTCCATGAACACATGAAATTGAAAAAAAAAAAAGTATAGAGTAATTTCGGCAGTTTTCTGTGAAACAAGCAACTACTGATATTTTGAAGTGTCTCTAATCAGTGCAATTGTTATTTCTACGTGATTGAAGGGGATTTCATGGTGTGATACGGAATTGCAATCGTTTCTGATTTGAATGGATAATGGATTAACATAGAAATAGTTGAAAATAATGGTTCTCATACCTGAGAGCTTCTCCACGACAACTATGAAGGGATGAGATAGGTCAGTTACGAACCCAAGAGCGTAATCCACATTAAAATCACAATTTGTATTTACAACATTCGTTGATTATCATGCTAATTATCTTAATTACGAAAAACTCAAATGAAGGAAATAATTATCATTTTCTCCTCATGAATAATTCTTTCTTCTCATCAATTTTAGATACATATGCAAATACTGTACATATATGTCAGCACATCCCTTGGAAATGGCGCTGACTTAAATTAGGAATAAATTTTATCTTCTTTGTTACATTTATATTGAAAAGTCATTGCATTTGATTCTATTTACAGTGTGAATTCTTTGTCCTGTTTATTTTTTTTTTTTCACCTTGTGATATTGGCTGGTTGCAATGAGATACAAATATTTGACTCCACAACCGTTAGTTTTTTCTATGAGGGAACTAGGAATAATTTTCATTGTGTAGTTTTGGGTTAATATGGGATTTCTGTGGAGGAAAGGGCGTGGGTGAAATTCATCAAGACATTAAAGAAAAATTGGAGTGTAACTTAAGTCGTAATCAATTTGTTTTCCAACGTACAAATTCATCGTAATTATATTAGTACATTATTGAGACTCGAATGATTACTTTATGTGGTATAAATGAAGATTTTTGTTTTGATTCTCGAGATTATTCGATCAAAATTTATCGATATTTTGTAGCGAAGAACTCATTATTATTGAATCGATTCTAATAAATTACTAAATCGGTCCTTCTTCCCCCATTCACTCCAGTAGTACAAAAGAAGACATATTTCATTAAAATTAATTGACACGATGTGGAGTGAGTGGGAAAAGACCGAGCCGATTCCATAAAGTTATGGGAGTTAGATGATGCTGTGAATATACCGAACCTTTTTCAAATAGAGAAGACTGCAGGTCTGCGATGATCCACAGGGGTGCAGGGGCAATGATTAAATGTTATGTTTTAAATATGGAAATTCGGTCGGGGCCATAGCTCACAGCGGGAAATTTGGTGCTTGCGGATTGAGAAGATTCGAGGAAGAACGCAATTGTATTTTCAAATCTTTATGAACGGAGAGATAATGGGGATTCATAATAAGAGCGGAGCGTAATTACTCATAATTACTAGAGCATTTCAAAAGAATTTTTGCATCAACCAATTGATGATCTCACGGATATTCACCTCGAATATATTGTAAACCCTCAAGGGACTAATCTACAATGATGTCGGCATATGAGACAAATATATTTTTATAAAATAGATGATATATGTAATTGAAAAAAGAGTTATGGAGTTAAAAAATTGAATTATGAAGAAGTTTAATCATTTAAAAGTATATAATAAATGGGAAGATTTTCGGGTATTTCTCCTCATTTATTTACAGTTGTGCAGTTTTTTTTCGTAATGCTCTGCTTGTATGAATGTCCGCCATTTTTCCCTTCAATATTTTCTTAAATAGATTGAGAAACCGGTAGAATGAGGTACCACGAAGCCGACTGGATATGATTATACGGAAAGGACGTACTTGTTATGTAATTGTTTTTTATCAATTAAAATGCAAAATGAAGTGACAAAAAGAATATATAATATAATATTATATTATATTTTATAAAGATAATAATAATAATATTATCATCATCATTGGACAGATCTTGAGAATGATAAATTCAATGAGAAAAAATGTCAATAATTTGACTGTTTTAAAAAATAATTATAAATTTGTATTAATTGTTCATTTTTCCTCAATCATATCCAGATGTAGTTAATAAATTTCTCAAAAAAGATTCTCCTTCTCTCTTCACGTTTCAATAAAGCCGTCGAATCGGATTTCAGTAGAAAAATGAAGTGAAAAGAGTAATTTCAATCTTGAATCCATTTTTTCAACCAGAAATTTCAAATTATTTATGAAAAACTGAATCCTAAGTGAAACATATGTCCGTCATTTAACCATTTCTCTACTGATTTTAATCCATTCGATTTCCGAATGCCCCACGAAATTACTTGAGAAAAAATCTCTGAGTTTTTTTTAGGAACGATTATTTAAAAATAAAAAAAATCCCATAACAATTATCTCTTTTTTAAGAAGCAATTCCACTTAAATCCCGCGGTTTTTTTTCGTATCAAGGAAATAATATCCCACTCCTTATTTTCGATTCCATAAATACATAGAACACGCGATCGTTCAAAATATTAATTAATATTCATTTATAAATCATCCATAATTATTATTTACTAACATATAAATGATTATTACTCCTCGAAATAAAATCGTTTCACTTGGACTATCATTTCGATATTATCTTGAATATTCTTCTTCTCCAAATAATATATTCATATATTTTTGAAATAATTCAGTGGGAGAATTCGTAAATCGGTAATTAAGTAATTGGGGGAGAGAAGCAAAGATGCCATGCATAAAATCATGCGATAATTCACCGTAATGAATAATGAGTATCTCATGATATTTATGGAAGATTCAACACCAACGGAAGAAATAATGATATTCGCACCTGAGTGATGATCACAATTGTTAAACGAATTACAATAAAATAATCGTGCACATAAGCTAATAAATTCGGTCATATATTAGCCAGGGATAATTTGAGGTTTGTACATTACCCTGAGGCTGGAGCGTCGTCTGTCAATAGTACTAGAGTTGTTGGTTGCCATGTGAAGGGCTGATAGCGAGCTCTGATGGTGTTGGAGATGTAGAGCCCGATTTCCTCGTCCCAAACTCCCTCCGGCACTCACTGTACTCATCGGTCTACTTCCACCAACATGATTCCTCGGTATCACCTCCAGCTGGCTTCTACACACATCCACACATCCATGCTCACTTAGCATATCCCCATTGCTACACAATATATTTCTGACAATACACCGCAACACACACACGTTGTTTGCCATATAATATTCATAATAAATAAGAAAAATTGTATCCGCATCAATAATAATTTGTGAATTATCTCATTTCCCTTCAGCAGGACCTCATAATTGTCTGCAGCTTTTTACCCCCATGACGATATTTATATCTATTACAACATAAATATACATACACAAGCATTTTTTGTGCTGCAAAGATAGAGAAAAAATAGTTTACTGGGCTCTAATGTTTATCGATTCATTTGAGAATTTTACACTCGCTTTGAGTGATTAAAGCAGTATGGTCGCTAATCTATTCGAGTGTCAGACGGAAAATCGATCTTATTGTCAGAGTCGCTTGTTTACTGCGATATTTTGTAATTATGCAGATAGCAACTGCAGACGAAAAGGGAAAAAAAATTCACTGGAGTGCGGAGAAAACTATGCGTCATAAATTCTTCATGAAAAAGTGATAGAAATTTCTGCAGAATGGATTGAAATAGTTGTTCACTTTGGAGAAACGAGATGTAACGAGTGGAGGGTGATCGAATGAGGACAAACAATTTTAATAAATATTCAAAAATGCGAGGTGGTAGACGGATAGAACTGCCATCTTGCTTAGATATCCTCTCCCTTCGTCGGAGATAGTTGAGAAGATGGCGGCGCGTCCACCTCGTATTTTCAAGCAATAATTAAAATTCTTCAAAGTCTCTAAATCACTCGCTACAGGTTGCATCGCGTTCCTCTCAGCTGAACAATTTTTTCATACCAATTTGTAGATATTTTGTTTTTTTTCGGCTAAAAATTGATATAACAAAGTTTTCATCGCATTCTGGTGTTTTGTTATCCCCAGGCACCAAAAGGACAATTCGACATTTTTTTCATTGTCATTTATGCTTTCCATTGATTTCTAAAAAATGAATGAGGTTTTTTTTGGTGAAGGAATAAAGACCATACTACCTCAAATAATTAATTAACACGTCGTGGGCGTTCATTAGAGCCGAATAATGGTGAATTTGTAGTAGAGAAACATCAAACATGAGAGATATTGAACTGGCAAATAATAAATGATAACTATTGAATGCAGAGTGGTGTTATCCGTAATCAGATATTTGAGGATTACCCCGGTCTGATTGTGAATTACATCACTGGACTAATAAACAATGGGTGCTGTACATAGCGTTTTAGTGCAGTGCAGGCAGCGGCTGTGGGCTACGGCTCAACTATTCATTTTATTTTATAGATAATTATTGATTTACCAAGAGGTGTCGGTTGATTTCTATTATTTCAGACTGGTTAAAATAATAATGAATAAAAACGTTGTGAGTGGACCCGAGCAGACCCAACTCAGTCATCTCATAAATTCGGCATGAGTTCTTTCTCTTTTCTTCTATTCAAAAATGTTTGTATATGTACATTGATGTCAGCTGTTCCTATTCGTTTATAACTACGTGTGTGTATCACTTGGTAATGACGGGCTATATAGTGTATCATTATTTTTACTTAATATGTAAATTAATTATCTTAACGACAGCGATCATCCACAAGTTTTTTGGAGGTCGGGGATGATCGTTCGATTATAATTCCACAAATAACATCAAATTTCACAGTTAATTGTTCTCGGCGAATTTTATTACCGAACTCATGATTTTCAAGAGCTCGGGGGAATTATTTTGCCTGACAATTGAGTGAATTCACTCGATTCGATTCATTTTTGTAGCAAAGTGGTCAAGATCAAGAGACGAAATCAGAATATTTATGCAGATTGTTTGAAAATATCTTGAAAACTCAGCTAAGAGTCATCGAGAGATTATTTATTGTAACATTTTTTTTTTACAAAAAGATGTCTCGATGCGTACCTCTACAGCATTTAGTTTCAAAGATAATTAATCGGATTAATTAACAATCCGCTTCTGGATTTGTCCCCCATTTTGCACAACTTGGCGACTGATTTATTGGGAAGATTCCATTGCTATTCCTCACTTTATAACATTCACCTATCTACGATCTGGAGTTTTTTATTTAAGGCAGGGGAATACGTAGAGCTACCCTTAAATTAATTACTGGTATATTGATTAATGATCGGAGCGAGTTTGGAATAGAAAGCCCCTGGGGGTTTGAAAGGGTGAAAAGTTTAAAAAAAAAAATTCCTCTTTTCTCCTGATCCTTTTACCGAGCCCATTGACAAAGTTTACAACTGATAAAGTTGCGGTGAAGAGAGATGGAAAAAAATGTCTGCATACGAATTTGAATAGCGGGTGTGCGTGATGTGAATACTCCGGGCAAAACTGCGAATCAGAGAACCACGAATATCTCTTATATACTGAAAAGGAGAGAACCAATAAAACGAGTGAAAGTATTCTGAAGCGAAAGAAGAAGGGAACGGGAAGAGTTGAAGGTTCAAATGTGCAGACCGGTGCACTTGGAGAAAGAGAAAGAAGAAAAAAAAAATGGTAAACGAAATGCCGGTTGCAAAGGGACACACATAAATCGATACGAAGCCGTAAGAAAGGAGGAGAGAAGGAGATTCTCCTTTTCATTGTTTATTTTCTTCTCCACCCTATATATCGCAGACTTTACTTTGATTACGAAGCCTGGAGTACCCAGTTACTGAAAACCCACGCCAGACCCTCACCCTTTTTCACTTTTCCCAACACTTGGAATTTCTTTGATCGTACAACACGACTCGACAAACAGGATTTCGTTGAATAGTGAGAAAGATATTCCCTCGTCTTACCCCTTGTTTTGTTTCATGTGGGTAGTGAGGGAAAAAATTAAAGAGCCCTATCAAGTGTGAGGGCTGCAACAACTGCAACAACTGCAACAACTGCATCCGATGGTGAATGAGATGTTGAGGGAAATTGAATGTATCCAAGGGGAATGGGAGGATAACTTGAATTATTCATGTTGATTGGCTCATGAGATGGGATTGAGTTCTGTGAACAACTTTCCTAGGTATTGATAAATCATTTTGGGGGATTGGACAATGTTATGTGTAATTTTAGTGAACGTTGTCCATTGTTCCCTCTGGATGACAGTAGATTGAGTACCTGGCTGGCAGTACAAGGGCCTCCAGTTCGGCAGTTAAATGTCGACGTATCATGTGCTTAGCGGGAGGTATTCCAAGCGCTGTTGCCATGGTATCACCAGTGAACGAGGGTTCTAGAACTACCAGAGCACCGTGAACACCAGAATCTAAACGACAAACAAATTTCACTAATTTATTCAAGTAAAACATTTCTCAACTTCCATTTCATTTCATTCTTCAATATCTCAGTTTACTTTTGATTTCAGTTTTCTGTTTGCCAGTTCTCTTCGGAGATAAAAACTTGACGAGTTATTACCGATATCTCATAATTTTTCAAGTTTTTTACACATTTGTGGAAAATCGTTGGTAATATTGACGTCAACAAATATACCGATTTTAAATTTTATTATTATTTAAAATATTATTTAAAATCATTTAAATAATATTTTAAATTATTATTATTAAATTTTTAATTATTTTTTTAAATATTACAAATGAACGGATTATAATATAATTTTTTTTTGCGCAGAAGTATTACACCGGGAAAATAATATTGCCCTCAATTATTTTTGAAGCAATATCCCTGAGCGTATTCGATTGCTGTGATTTACTTGAGCCAGCAGGGGATTACATTTGCGTATAATCATGATTAATGTTATTATTAATGATACTATTAATCATGCAGTTAATCTTATGAAGAATATATTAACGATTAATTATATTACGATATACGACTATATATTACGATTAATTTGATGATTAAACGATTAATCAACAGGAATGAAAGAGTGTAGAGATGGTGGGTTTACCTTTGAGATTGTCAGCATATTCTCCTAGATCAATATTTCTCGCCCACCGAATGAACCTGTGATTCGTCCAAACTAAGGGATCTTCATCCACTTGTTCACTCTGATGACGCCTAACAGCGAGTGCCTGTCTGTCGTACTTGAGCATTCTCAATAAATTAATACCATGCATAATACTAGCTTGATGAAACTTCCTCGTGACTCCCAAGAGTTTTTCCAATTCTTTCTTAACGATATGATCGAGCATCCTGGCGTCAACCAAATTAGTAGCAAAGCTCTCTGAGTATTGGGCGAGTCCAAGATCAGGCAACCACTCAGAACTGACCCATGTGTGACCCAGTTGAGCTATACAGGGATAACGCACTAAACTTGGATGTCTGTGCTCCTCAATTGCTAAGCGAAGCTTTTTCCGATGAAGGGGATGAGTTATTCCCAAACCTGCTTCAAGTTCTGCATCATTCAATTCCAACAGAACCTGAAGAAAAATACAAATATCAAAGTCCAGACGAAAACTTCAAAGTTTTCTTTTCAATTATTTTTACGTTAGGTTTCATCCAACTTTTTCCTGACGGGATGAAAATAACGGGAGGCAAATCAAAACTTTTCCTCTGTTTCCTTTGAATATGAACAAAAATTAAATTATAAATATTGTTATGGCAGCACTGCTCGCGTTTTTTTATGGTTTATTTTAGCCGAACATTTTTCTCCGTCATTTCTTTATTAAAATTCAGAGATCAGGTATAATATTATTCCCAGGGGATATTGATCACGATTGAATTATATTACTCCATTCGTCGATGGAGATTACTAATCAACTTTGCAACATCAATTTCCATATTTATAACTGAATAAAGAACATTGGGGCAGGTAATACCTGTCGTTTATTGAGTGATTGACGATTCGAAAATGATTCCATGCATTTCTCAGAGCTTATGCAGTATATATACTTTGTATTTATCCTCTTTATGATGAATTTAGATTTGTGAGGGGTCAATTCAAGAACTAAAAAATCTTTTCTACTATTTTTTTATTTCGGTAAAGTGAGAGCTTTCGTTCAGCGATAATAAAAATGAACTCATGCCACTTCTTTCTATTTTCTAGGTTGATTGACTTTTCTCAATGGAAATTCCACAAGGAGCTGTTTTTTTGCGAAGTAAGACGCTGTTTTTTCACGTCTCATTAATTTTCATATTGAGTCGTTATAATTTTGGGAGCATTGCATTGTACTCTGAGTACAATTTGAATCGATCCGCTGTAGAGCTTTCAAATGGGTTGTAAATCAGATAGTTGGATATTGTCAGGCGGGACAGTAACGGTAATTGGTCTCAGTAATAAAATATTCCTAGAATTGATGAGATCATTTGATTCGTTGTGCATTTTCTCGTGAGCACAGCGGTTCATTGTAATGGGAATTAGAGCTATCTCGTAATTTCAAAGTGTGAAAACACCTCTTACCTTTCCTGATTTGATATTCTCGGCACACCTGGGTCCGTACTGTGGCATCCCTAGGGCAACCTCGAGCCAAGCTAGGACGGTTGGAGCTCGCCATCTCTCCATTGGTATCGTTACAGCTTCCCGCAGTAATCGTAATTTCTCGGCGTAGCCTTCCTCAGTAAGTGGTGACCACGACCTATAGGGATCGAAGGCATCCGAAGCCTCTGTTCCTGTGCTACCGCTAACGGAACTGTTGAGGGCTTTCCGATGACGAGAACGAGCGAAAACCCTTTAGAAAACAAAAAAATTAAAAAATTCTCAGACAAATTCACCGACAAATTTCATCGACTTGATTTCAATTTCATTATTTCATTATTTCATTCATTCAAAATTGTATTAACAAATTTTATTCAAATCAAATAGATCGACGAAAAACAATTACCAAATCACATTTTACACAAATTATTTATTATTAAAAATGAGGGTGACACCCGAAGACTGTCGATACTCTAGTTCTTCAATAAAAAATCGTCCAACGTGAAATTTCAGAAGCAATTTTCAATCATTGAGGGATCTAAAATATTTGCTCTATTTTGCGGGGATGCATTCCTCAATTATACAGGAATTACTGTAATAATCTGTTGAATTTACCTTGAAATCGAACCCCAAGGACCGCCCCTCGTCGCCGAAGAGCGCGCGTGGGCGACAGGTGCTGGAACAGGTGCTACTTTATTTCTCCTTGGCTCAGAGTCCATTGGACTGGACAGTTGCTCCACTGAACGTGACATCGATGACGTATCCATCGATCTCGAAAATGCGTTCAAAGGTGAAAGAGTTGGGCTGCAGTCCTTCGGTGTAGTTGCTGCTGTTGAAAATATCATTGAGATTTAATTTCCCAAAATTCCAGAGTTTTCAAAAATTTCGCAAAAGGAATTTGTTTGGCAAATGGACAAATGAGTGCCTTTTTGTTATGTATTTTTTCAATGTCGGATATTGTCGGATATTGATTCAATATTGCAATTTCATTTCCCCAGAGACTCGCAAGAGAGTTGATAAGAATATTGAAATATCGATGCAACATAAAGAACGTAGAGGATATTCGAATTTCCGGTATCCCCAAACAATTCGTTGACGATTTACCCTTGGTACACATGCTTCATGCATCACAAATCGTTCTCCTTCCTCCATTGTTTCGAAAGGATCTGTATAAAAAAAAAAATCCGTACCGCTTCTCACGATTTCACGTCTGGGAATCGGTATTGTGTACTTCTCAAACTCAAAATACACTACGGAAAAGTGTCCAGACTGTGCGATAGAGGAGTCCGAAAGGGTTTTACTCTTGAATGAACTGCGAACGAGAATTGCCCTTGGCAACAATATTTATTTGCAGCAAACAACTAATAAACAAAAGATGAGAGTTCAATATAAATCCTCAAAACTGTAACGCCATCGCAACAGTCGGTCAATAATATATTTGGAATCGTCAAAGTGTCGGGGATTGATTAAAAACTGATGTGAGATCCTACGGAATTAGGAAGAACAACAGAAAATCTTGGAATATAATAAAAAATGTATGTTCCATCGTATCAATAAATCCAGTCACAAATAGCCGAAATAATCTGGTAAACACGAATAACAACTTAAATAAATGTTCATCAATTATCTATTCGTTCGTATAATAATCTGAATGTACATTTGCTAGATCGATTTAACGATAGAGCACTGTTGCCCTCTAATTTATTGTTTAATTTCAGAAAATAACCGCTGGTTGAGTCTGAGAAAATTTGGTATCACGATGACGAAGATGATTCGATTGAAACGAAACTTACATTGATACATGTGTGATGGAGCTACGGAGGATACCACTGAGATGCTGTCCATATCGAGGCCACTTCCCTCGACAGTTATTGTTGGTGTCCCTGCGTGTAAATATAGGGATTATGAATTACAAGGAGGTGCACAGGACAGTGATCGACTTTCGTAAAACGATGGGAATGATGATAATAATTTGATAACGATTGACAACATTACAATAGTGATTCTGCAGACATTTTCATCAAGATTTATCGTCTTCGTGTTCTTTATGTTGCACCCTTCTCTTGTTGATGATTGAATGTCTTTTTATTTCGATCCAATCGTGTCTTCGTACCCCAATTAATTAACTTTAGTCGTGAGGCTGGGAGGGGAGATGCAGGGGAATTACCTACCATCAGTTGTGGAGTCTGATAAATTTCCTCCGACACTGGTAGCACCGCCACTCTCTCTGTCACTGGATCCACGTACACCGGAATCAGCACTACAGCTACCACGATCACCAGCTTGACCAGTTCCACTCGCACCACTTCCGCCAACACCAACGCAAAGATCAGTTGCACCCAGAGGGGGTTGTGCACCCAAGTGAGGTAATAGCATTGGTCCACATCCTCCGATGCCACTGGTACTGCAAGCACCGAGTGTTGCTGTACCATTTACACTGCCACGTGGAAATGATACGAGGGACTCTTGATCACTCAGACATACACCACTGGTTCCACCTCGGTCGCTTAATTGTCGCTGGAGCTAAAATTTTAATGAGTTTCATCGAGTCATTTATGTTCTTTTATAGTTTTATAATATTTTAATGGATTAGGATTGGTTTGTCTGTTCCAAATTATCAGTAGAAGTATTGGAAATCAATTCAATAGAACAGATTCCGAATTTTTAGATCCGAAAGAATGACAGAAACAGTCTAGAAATATCCTCAGATAATAATTATTCACATTTTTATAGTTTCAATAAATGATTAAATTATTTAATGCGATTTCGTTTTATGGAGTTGGAAATCGGCAGAATTATACGTTTTAATTAACATTATTATATTGATATCGATATACAAACAAAAATAAAGAATATATTCTCAACTACTAATAAATTGAACAGAAATAAGAATAGTTCACGAATGGGTAATATTAATATAATAATATATAGAATTCCCACTAGTAAGTGAATAGTTAATCGACAGATTGATATTACTTAGTACCTAGCTAATCTGCCCAACTCAATGAAGATTATAAATAATTCGTTTTTTAGTTTTATTATCATTCAATGACTCACAAATATCTACAGTCAAGTGTCTATTTTGCAAAATTTCTGGGAACGGTTGATGAATTTTCGCAGGGGTTTACTGAGAACGTAGGGAAATTATTCCATGATTATGAATTTTCGTGAGACACTGAATAATAAATTCCAACGATTTATTTTCTCACGTCAACCGTTCACCAGAAATTTGCAAAAGAAAATTGAAGGGCGAGATATGGGCAATAATTTCTTGAAGAAAGGTGTGAATGAAGTAAGATTATGGAAATGTTCTCGTCACAAGTGAGTATGTTCGAAGTAGAATTTAGTTGACAGAGATTGACACGAAGTTTGGGGTGGATACCTCTTTTATAGTAGCATGTGCATGAGATAAAGCAGCCTCCTTATCAGCCAAACTTGCCGCTAAGCTGAGACTCCTGTCAGCCTCATCTCTAGCAGCTCTCAGCAAACTCCAGCGTTCCCTCTCGCGTTCTCTCTCCCTCTCCTCACTGGGTAATCCAGCACCTTGCTGCTGAAGACGACCGAGTGTTGCCTCGTTTTCCCTCATCCGCTGAAATCAAGAGGTAAGAAAACCCACGTCCGGGCAGTAAACTCTACCCCATAAAACCATCACCACACAGGCAACATGCAACTCCGTGATAAACCAGTCGTGACTAAATTTTCAGAATCTTTTGAAATCCTCGTCTAGTTTCGGTTAAAAAAGTCATTATCTGGGAAATTGAAAAAATAATTGCCCTCCATTTTTATTCATTTTATAAATCAAATTAATTATTGAGAGATATATGTAATAAATGTAATTTATTATTCAACAAATATGATGAGATTGTTGATAAATTTTAAGGGAGATTTTTTTTGGAGGAAGCAATACTTGTTTGAGAGGCTTGACATTTTTCTCTGGATGCATTCGGATTGGAATTTCTGGGGGAAGACTTAATGATTACAATCAGACGGAAATCTTGATCGCATTAAGGACTGAGGGGAGTGACTGCGATTGAGTTTGAATTCATGGATCAACGGGAATGAGAGACCAGTCTTACCCCTCTTTATCCGGGATTGGGTGAGTCAATGCCAGTTCTCGCCTGTCTACAGATAAACGGGGCTTGTAGGTATGGGAAATAGTTCAAGGGGGAAAATTTGCCCAGACAGGGGGTGAAGGGTATATATAACGTGAGAAAACTTGGGAAAAGAGGAAAGCGAAAAATGAGAGAAGTCGTTGAATTCGGATATTCCGAATAGAACAAATCCAGTTTCAATGGAATTGGTTACCAGCAAGTTTTTATACAGAATAAAAATTTTAATCCACGAGAATTCACACTGAGGAATGGAGAATTTCAATATTTGTCTGAGTGTCAGAGAATCCAAAGATTTTTTTTATTTTAGAATAGTAAGCGGTATTTATTCGTAGATTGAGGATTATCAAGGAATTTCGATTTATTATGACAAGAATGTTGCAAAAATTCGAGTGACGATTGCACTTAATGAAATATCCAGAGACAGAGGAGATTTCTATTCCAGAAAATGAGAAATTCCAAGAGTTGTCTCTAATGAAAATCCTGGGAAGAGGGACGACAGCTATTCCCCTGGTATTCATAATTTTCGTCAGTTTTCTGTGTTAATTCGCATCCGAATTTACTACATCATGGCCACGAATGTCCGTCTAATTATTGTGTTGAAAATTCAGTAGGTGAATAAAATACAGGGGATAAATTGTCATTCCGAGACATAATCTAACACAGTAAATGAACATGTTGAAATTATTCTAGTAATTATTTTTCCCTTTACAATTGCAAAAGCCACGGATTATTGCGGTACATGGGTTTTCATATGTTCCCCATATTTCTTCTCATGCTTTCCTGCAGATCACCGCAGCAATTGAGTATATAATATTCTCAGGGCATTCGAAAAGCCCTCGGTTTTGGAAATATTAAATTTTAAGAAAGACATGCATTTATTCACATTATATACATTCATAATGCTGTGAAGATTATGCAGACTCATCTTCATAAATAATTAATAGAATATTTCACTATTCTCTCACTGTACCTGTTCATAATTTCGTATGAAATCCCTGAGCTCTCGTTCTTTATCCTCCAGTGTACTGTAGAGAGCTTTCATTTGATTTAGTAGATCGAATTTCTCAGCCTTGAGACGTTTGCGATCGGTTTTGAGGGCCTGTATGACCTCGCGCGAATGCTGTAGCTCCATTTCCAGGGCAACGAAACGAGCTTCCTCTTCAATAGCTGCATCCTCACCACCAACTTCACCCCTTGCTGCACCACTCAACAGCAATCGACGGAGTCTTGCTACTTCCGCCACAAGACGCTCATTCTCCAGACGTAATCGACGAGCACTCGCCAATTCCACTGGTGGTCCTCCATGGAGACCTGATAATCGACCAGATATCACTGATTCTGAGAGACCTGAGTTGCGAGGGAAAGAGAGAATATCGGATTAATATCCAAATTTATCCGAATTCTCCAGGTCATTTTGTGGTTCACAACAATTTAGTGCAATCGGTAAGAAAATTAAAATAAATATTGAAAATTTATTTATATGAGTGGTATATTCACTTCTCATTAGTTTAATTCTATGGTTTAGTTCATCTATAAAGTACAAATATCATCAGAAATTATAATAATTCAAGTTTAATATCGATTTAATATCGTTTTAGCGCATGTGCATGCTCGAACATTTTTTGGATTATTTATTTATTAAAAATCCAATCTTTTGATAAACTAATGGTTCATTATATATATAATAATAAAACAGTACACCCCGAGAAAAATACAAAAACAAAAAATATTTGCACGATCACTATGTTAACTATATTTAATATAAAATAAAAATAAGAATTTTTATTTTATTATCTGGACTACCACGCCAAAAACAATGACAATAAACATTACTCGCTAAAACGGGAAAACTGTTTTTTAAATTGCAGTTTTATCTTCAATTTCGGGAAACACGTCATTGACGAAAAGTTTGGGATGGGAAATGAGTTAATTAACTTTATGTCGAAAGGGTGGAAAAGTTTTTTGCCGTTTTAAACATGCGGGTTGTTCAGCAGTTTAATTGGTTCATTTTGCAGGAAAACTTTGGAAATGACATTTACGCTTGAAATTGAAAAATTACGCACGGGAATATGAAGGTCTTTCATTAAAAAAATCCTTGAAATTATAAAAAAAATTTACGATTAATAATTATGAAAACAATCCTAAACGAACAATATCTATGGACTCTTGATTGTTTTCTATCTGGCGTCCTGTTTTCCCCAGCTTTCAGCGAGTATCTTGGAATTGAAAGAAAACAGTGAAATTTTCATGAAGACCTTTTTTCTAGCCCTCATCTTTCTCTATCAAAAATGTAGACACGATAATATCGCTATCTCCCTTCAATCCCGAGATACGAGAAACAGAAAGTCTCATTCTCATTAATTCCAAAAACTTTTTCCTGATGAATAACGAAAGGATTTATCGGTAGATTTCACGATTAAAAAAAATTCCCAAGGGAATATCTTCTTGTATCGAGTACATAATTTTAGTGAAAAGTCGGAAATATATATGAGAATATTTTCCAGCGAAAAGTTTCATCTCTATTGGGCCTGCGGAAGAGGGAGAGACGAGAAATGAATTTTCATGGTGAATTTATAATTGAACGTGCAGTCTTTGAAGTGCACTTACCAAGGGGATTGCTTGGTGATGTGGGTCGGCTGCCTGGTGCTGGTGCCGGTGGCTCATTGTCCTCGTCTGGTCTTACATCTCCATCGATTATGTCCTTACCGTCCTTACTCTCGAGTTCATTGCTCTCCTTATTGCGTATTGACTCGCGATTTGTTGTTATACGCAGTCTCTCACCGCTCGATCGTTCACTACCACTTCGTTGAAATAGTCCACTCCGATTACGATCTGGACTTGCACTGCCCGATCGAGAATCAACACTACCACCAGAACCTATCCGGGTTTTATCCACTGCCGTCCAGGGTCGTCTCTTTTCACTGGGACTACGATTCGGTGAGCCGTTACGCTTTTCTAAAAAAACAAGATAAATAATAAATAATAAAAACAACGCCAGCGAAATCTAGTAGTATTGGTAAATTAGGAGCAGACTGTTAGAATGCCGTGAATTTTCACTCACGAGTCTTGTCAATTTTTAATTGTACGAGTTTAAATTTAATTTATCCTGGAAATTCAAGAAAATAGCGCTTTCCGTGTTAAACAATAATTTATTTTCTAATGAAAGCTCGATTTTTTTTGGGTTGAGAATTCCGGGAAATTATTGCCTGAATTTTGAAAATTTAAGATTTAAAATTGATAATTGCTAGAATCATCATGAAATTAACTGCTCAATGAAGAATTTTACAGAAATTCCATATCAATTTGTTGTTATTAAAAATTTCCAGTTTTTTCCCTCGAAATTTCAAGTCTCATTCTCCAACAGTAAATTCCATTTTATTCAGACGCAGTTTATTGTGAATATCTCAAAACTGAAGCAAAATTAAGATATTTTCATAAACCCATTTTCTGTAGCTCTCATCTTTCTCCATAAACACCCCCTATACAAAAAAATTTCCATCTCCCTTGGATTCCGAGTTATTGAGGAAAAACTGGTGTTCAAAAAGAAGCCGTTCTGATTCACCACTTGCCTGCATGACGAGGTCTAATTGAATGACTTATTGATTCCCCGGGTATTTAATAATTTTTAGCAATCACTCGAGCTGTCAATAATGACATCCCCGAGGACTATTGATAAGATTGATTGACAGAGATTCTTACCAATTGACGGACTAGTTCTACTGCGATCGATGGGACTGTTCCTGTCCTTCTTATCAGACGGGCTACTTCCTTTATCAACAGGGCTAACCGATTTTTCACTTGCTGAGCTCCTCTTATCAACAGGACTACTGGCAGCACTGAGTCTTTTTGCCTCGTCCTGGGAATTGAGGGCCGGCGATTCACACCTCACTTCCTGGGTACTCATTGGTGCTGTCAAATTGTTGGACGTACCACTAGTTGCGCTCGTTGTTTCACTACTCGTACCGTTGTTATTGGCATTTGAACCGTTGCCATTGGTCGCGTGATTGTTGTTTGTTACAAGGGCACCCCTTACCTCGCGTAATTCACCGCGAAGAGACGCGCATTCACCCCTCGCACGCTCTAGTTCGCCATCCAGACGGGCACCCGTCGCTGCGTTCTCCTCCACCATCACGCGAAGTTTTGCCTGGTAACCAATTAATTGTCAATTAATTATTATACACTTTTTATTGAAAGGAGCAAAAACAATACAATCATATTACAGACCTAAATAAGTCTATATTTATTATACTATGAGGTTATTATTTATTGGAGAGGCCGTATGTGTGGTCTTACGACCACGAAACTCTAATGAATGTTAATTAAATGATATAAACAAATCTCTGTTTAGGGAAAGAAAGGAACCATGATGCCGATGATTTGGTGTTTGCGACTTCGAGATCGTTTGACAATTCGGCGACTGCTCTCGAAGTGTCAACGCATCTTAGTAAAATATAATTCAATTGCTCTTAATTAAACGTCTATTCATTTATTAATCTGACTTCCAATTAAAATCCAATACTTCTCAATTGGAAATAGATACCGTCGAGGGATGGATTATGGGACGGGCATGATTTTGGAGATGAGTATTAACTCATTACGACAGAAATTTTATTGCATCGAATGAAAATCGACTCCTAAACCCATAATTGCATTAATAAACCAATAAATAATCAGCTTTATGCGTCAATTATTAATACGATACACAACAGATTTAGTAACAAAGTTATTGGCGTAATAGTTTAACTGTCAATTAATTCATCTCTGTAAACAAAGCTCTGACATTTTTTTATTGAATTGACATCGATTGTTGTTCCAGAAAGTTTATACGATTTTTTTGCAGTAATGTAGATAGAGTCTTATCGTCTGTATATAAAGTTGAATAAGAATTACATGGAGAGAATAATAATGCTAAAGACATTTGTTGAGAGAAATTAAGAATTATATGGACAAGAGAGTAGAATACGAACGAAGTAATTATGAAGAGAGAATACACGAGGAGGAAATGGAGAAATGAGAAGAGATGCGCAGGTGCAAGATCTGAAGGTATGCACTCGAAATTATTAACAATACGATACGAAATCTTATCAAAGGATTTTCATTGCGGTTTTTCAATCTGATGATTATTTATTATTCTTCTAATAGACGATCTATGCACTGAGAGAAATATTCAATAAAAATTACGTGTATTTTTCGTAATTCTGGAGCGAAATGTGGTTGTCGGAAATTTTACGAAACTGTCACGTAATTTTTATCTAAAGTCACGTAATTTTTCCGCGGTGTTCCGTAATTTTTATCTGAATTATCGGTAAAAAATAACGATACCGTCACTTAAATTTTTCGAATCAACTCCGTAATCGGTAAATGAACTGAAAGTTCCGTAATTTTTACTAAATATTTCTCTCCGTGTGGGAGATATCTATGGGAGAAATTTTAGTTTCAATTTTGTACTAATTTTTCAATGATCAATTTTCAATGTTCAATTAAAAAATTATAATGTTCCTTTCAGAGTAGAATTACATTATCAATTTTCTGCTCATTCTCGGAGGTATTCCTCCCCATCGAATCAATAGACCAGAATTTTCGTAATTCATCGACCCTCGGCTCTCACAATCTGCAATGAACCTTCATTTGAATAATCAGCAAGCATAATCTGAAAACTTGGCGAGTCTGGCGATGGGATTAATTGATCGCCCACTGGTGAATTAATTGAGTGAGGCAGAAGGTGAATATTGGTAATTTATTGGAGGATCCTATGAAAAATTCTCTCTCATCGACTGTATTCATATTGTCAGCCCTCCAGTCTCCCAATTGCAGCGAAAGTGAACTGCATTTCCGCTGATGGATCGTCAAAATGATAGGAAAATGTGATTTTCCCATGGTCAGGGCCTTGAACGTGATGGGCCATGATTGGAAAATCATGCGGAAGGATGAGATGTGGTGGAATAATGCCTCGATCGATCGTACATGCCACATAACACATGCGCGGGTGCAGTAAACTAAATTTCGACCATCTTCAGAGGATTCCAGGGAGGGGGAAAATCTCACGAAAAATATGTGAAAACTCTGCTATTCGCAAGCGAGAAAAGACCCTTTTACGCATCTTTTGTCATTTTTTTGCAGATACGCTTAAAATATTATTCAGGAGCTTTCCAATCGAATTAATTACGGGATTAAATCCCTGAATCATCATTTTGCACTAATGAATTACGGGATTAGAAATCCATAAATTACGATCATAATTTACGGATTTAATCCCGTAATTTCATGTCGGAAGTTTCATGTCGGAATTTTAGTTTCCAAGAGAAAAATCGTATGGAATTTTCCCCTTGGATACATCCGTTTTAAATAAACAAAATTATTCCATTTATAGTTGATGAAGATAATTTTTATCGGTGTAATCAGTGCGCGGAGAGTAATAGTCAATAAAAATTAACTCTTTTCATTAAATCCCCGACAAAATGAGGTGGAGGAAATTTCTGTGGATTGATTACAGAATTTTTCTAGCGGATTTCATATTGTTCATAATTTTAATCTACTTCACAACGGATAGATTCCAGGTTCGGTTTTTAACCGGATAGAATGGTGAGATCTAACCAATTAAAATCTTGATCATTATCGGCGTATACTTTAACGGAGTCGAAGCGATGTAAAATAACCATAAAAAAATCCAAACCTCGGATTTCAGATAAACTAAACAATTCCATTTACTGTGCAGAAATAATAAAAGTGATGGAGGCGATGTGGGAATACTATTGCGGAGTGGTCCACTACGACAAGTGCAAACTTTTCAAGACCAGTTTTCCGCCGATATCTCGGAATTGAAGGGAGATAACGAAATTTTCATCAATACCTTTTCTGTAGCTCTCCTTCTTATCTATAAACAATATCTTTACAAAAAAATGGATATGTTCCTTTGATCTCGAGATATCAGGGAAAAAATGGTGTCGAAAATAGTGAGTTGCGTAATTTTTATTGAATATTTCTCTTCGTTGATTGGACTTTAAGGGGAAAGACATTACGACTGCACGAGAATGCGGTGTTTGAAATGTTTTAAAAAAGTTAATTATAGAACAGTGCAGTAATTCCATTGGGTGACTGAATTATGGGTGCCTGTCACGCGTGAGGATGAACTTTGGCTGAGACTTTAGCGGGCAGATGGCACGGCTCGACACGCCGCCTCATTCAACCGCACATTACCTTTATTGTTCACCAATTAACTCCACAATAAAACCTCAACACGAAGATAATCAGCCACTAATTCCAAAATTCCACAGATTCGTACTAATTGTTATCAAGTACTTAGAGAGAAAATACTTATTCTGCAGTGGCACTTCTAGTCGGGGAAAGCTTCTCGTTTTAGACCGGAGATTTGCGGACATGTGCCAGGGGTAAGACGTTATGAAAATAGACGTCGCACTCTTCCTCACATGAATACCCGATTATTACCTCTTGTACCTCCTATTTTCAACAACCCATCACCCACTTTTACCTCATTTTTGCAAATTTTTCTCATTCTTATTGACTTCCGGAAAGATTTCATTTACTGAATTTACTCTATTTTACTGCCTCTCGGGGAACGAAAAATATATTAAAGTGCACGTGGGAGTAGTTTTCAAAATAATTCATTTCAAATACAACAAGAAGAATAATCAATATGCCGATATGCTGTAAGATATCAGAGAATAATTGGTGAATAGAGAGAATAGAATATCTAAATTATCGAATAATATCGGTGAAATGAATTATTCGCTGCAATGTATATACAAATAATTGTATGCAACATGCATGTGACATTCAGCACTTATTTCGGCTGAAATATATGCGCATTTAATTGATATATATGTATCGTACATAAACCGTTTTCTGTACGACAGCACTTTATGGTGTACAATATAAATTTAGGGGAAAATATAAACAATTAGATAATTGAATTGCAATGACAAGTAAAAATAGACAGTTCTATGTGCAAAAGACTTTTTAAATTGACATTTCGGAATTATTTCAATTTTAATTTCAATTTCAATTTCAATTTCAATTTCCATTTCAATTTCAATTTCAATTTCAATTTCCATTTCCATTTCAATTTCGATTTCGATTTCGAATTTTTTGTCAAGTCTGTGTAGTTATATTTCTAGAGCGAAATGAATAATTTATGTATCATAATTAATACTTTAATATTAATTCATAATTATAATATTTGTGAAATTCGTAGGCGGACACTTCGGCCATGGTTTTTTCCTTTTTATTTGTTATCGCATGGTGTATTCAACCTGTTCAACTTTAACCAGTGGGATTTTATCCGGTGATGTGAACTCGAAACTTTTCGCATGTGTGTCGAGTGCTTAACACGTACTGCACCACATCGGCATAATAATGAGCGCAAGATGGATTCCCAGAGTATTTCGCGGATAGTAAACGTGCGGCTTAGGGAAGCTTATCAAGTTGCTTTTTTGCTGAGCATGCATGCCCTAAATAGCCAATTGAGTTACTAGTTATATTTATTTACAGAAATATCTACCATAAACAAATAGAACTTTTTCCGCAATCACTCATTGACGAACTTGGAATTTTTCATTCTGAAGTAAATAGTAAATAGTAAATGGTGAATATTTAAATAAATGAAAAGTCGATAAACATTTTCAGAACATTTTTGATTAGTCGGCTAAATAAATAGAGACTAAGAATAATAAAATACACATATAAAATTGATATCAATGTAAAAATTATTAATTATTATTAATTGTTTAGTCAGTATTTTTTTCGAATCGAGTGGAATTTGCAATATTTCTATGGAATTTTTACCAAAGCAATAATAATTTTTATTAAATTACTAGATTATTGAATTACTATTTACCTCGGTGTAGATTTTTAAAATATTTTTTGTTCGTGCAAAAAAAAATTGAATCATCGAATTTATTTTGCGGAATTAATGAATTTTCATCTAGAAACCTCTTATTTGTGAAAAGTCCTGTAGAATCCATCAACATCCACTACAAATGCATTTATCTTCCATTCATAGTGGTTTCATTGAAAAATTCCACCATTCACAACATTACATTGCAATGACAAAAAAATTCATCAAAAGATAACGAAAGCTCAACACGAATTCCACAGCACATTTATACATTTATTTATATTCCTTTT